CTATAACTGCATGGCCTGGAGTGTGTTTTTCTGATTATACCACAGGGATTTTTTTTTTTTATCTAATTTATTATTGAATTACATGTCACACATTTTAGTGGTTTATAGTTAGATTTAATGTTGTGGAATGTCCGAGACACAAGTTAGCTCCTGTTATCACTTATGTTAGAGCCGTAATAATCACGTGCTGCAATAATCCCTCACCAGTCTCTCTCTGTCTCTCTTTGTCAAAAAACACAGTGTGTCATTTTACCAAGAACCCAGAAAGCAAAAATTCCTCTGTCCTGAAGACTTTCCTGTCCTGGAAAACATTGCAATGCACTGTGACTTTAACAAAGCCCGTACTACAGAGAGTCCTTCCATAAATGTTAAATAAATGTTTCCTAACAAAAAAATATCACCACATCAACAATTATACATACGTCTTACTTTGTTAACCAACGACATGTTTTTAAAATCCTTTTACTACTAGTCTTAGATTATATGGATTCTCTGCCATAAAAGTCCCAATTGTTGGAGCTGTTACTATACATGAGCATCATGTTGCAGCCAGAACTACTGTTCAAGCCATGCTGTTATACAAAAATAATGCACACCTTCCGACCAGATTTGACCAGATTTGAGAATTCAAATGTTGGCCTTATTGGCAGGAAATTGCGAGTTCAAATCCAAATGACACCACACTCATCAGTGGCCAGGAGCCAGGGTAGCAAAACTGGCTATGCTCTCTGGGTGGGAGGGATGTCATACTATCTCTCCACTGTCACTAACTGCGACACTAACCAGTCATGGGCATCTGTGAGCTCATGTGCATATGTGAAAGAGGGGAGATAGAGATTTCTACTGACTGTGCTATGCTGCCATGTGATGCAGCATGAGCAGCAGTTTGGCTGGTTTCACTTCAGAGAAAGCAAGTGTTGGCCTTCACCCTCTCCAGGTGGTAGCTGTTGTATGATAGGGAAGAGTTGGGTACGAATTGGCCATTGGCCAAATTGGGCAGAATATATATAAATGCTTATTTGTGGACATTCTTTTTTTCTAACTTCCCAAAAGAAATCTTTATCGATGTGCAAAAAGCCCAAAAGTAGACATCCTTCCTAAAGTAATCGATACAAGTACCTCTGGTTTGCAGATGCCTTTTTAGTACTAAGATCAATGACACACATAAGGCAGGTTTTTTTTTTCTTTTACAGACAAACTCTTTTTTGAGCTTGCACGTGTTTCAAAGGCACTCAATAAAGGGTTCAGCTAGTGAGTGCCTTAGTGGAGGCTGATCGTTACTGGATCATTATCCAGCTCCTCTTTCTGGTCCTAGAAGACCAGTATCTATCTCTGTCCATGTACATGCTTTCAACCTCTGTCAGCCTGTCTCTCCTTAGATACATATAGAGGAGGCATTTAAGACTTGTCAGACAATATGTTGGTCAAATTGTGGAGAGATCACATGTTTAGTAAGCCAGCTTGTATAAAATTCCTGCTCCATGAGCTACACACTGGCCTAGATAATATCATCATTACTGAGAGCTCAGGGCAGTGGCCCGTGTTCAGTGCTGGCACAATTGCTTAGCAAAAGTGAAACATTACATCCACCACTCTGTCTGTGTGCTTCCTTTAGACAATACCTCTAGACAATACCTGAATAAGCTGATCTGGCATTAACAACCAAACACATTTTTCACGGCAACTAAATAGCAGGATCATTTCTCGTATATTGAATTTATTTAGTAGTAAAGTGTCACTTTTAGGGTTAAAAAATAATAAATTGCACTTACAGAAATGAATAAGAATTTGCTGTTTCCAGCTATGGGTGTGCAAAAATTCGTCCCGGCTTGCATGGTTATTCATCTGTCAAATTATTCATGCCTACAACATGTTCACAACAACGTTCTGAACTCAGAGCTTTATTTAAAGTATTTTATTCAGCGCTTAAGCGTCTCCTTCACTTGGCCGCTCTCCAGTCAAAGAGATAATGCCCCAAGATCCCAGCACGCACTGCTGTATATCTGAATAATTATGATTTGGCACAGTAGAGGAAACATGTTGCACCTGTGCCAACTGAATCTGAGGAGCAGTGCTTTCTGGACTTCATCCATATGTGATAAATCAAAAGCCTTTCCCTGCATGAAGGTCATTCTGCCAAAGACAAAGAGGACTATTTCACCTGCTCACTCATCCTGATAGAAGACAATAAAGAAAACAGATTATTTTATCTACCAGTTGGCATGAAATGCTAAAGAACAGCAGTACTCTTATTCTGATATCATAGTGGAACCTGTTAATGGTAAAGGTGATGGTGACAGGGGGATTTGTCTTCCATGAAGACTTATCTCTCATCTCTCATATGCATTAAACATTTGTAATGGTTATAAGGACAGACAGGGCAGGAAACATTCTTATTAACAATCTGGAGAAATTTCACCTAATGGATGAAAAAAGCCTAAATCATTTACCGGAGTGACAGTTATACATGTTTTACATGACTGAATGCACTTTTGTTTGCATATTTTTTTGCTGAGTGTATTCTTACTTTTCTGTGCTTTAGGCAGTCAATTTTTGGTTTTGAGGCAAATCTGTAGCTAATAAGCTTCATAACCATTTGCATTGCTCTAAGGTTGTCTGCAATGATCCTTTGTTCAGTCAGTTAAAATCCAATAAATGTAGAGAATTTCAATATTTAAAAATTTGCTGCGGTCACATGAATGTTGGTTATTATACAAAGTGTATGAAGAACGGTAATGCTATGCCTGGATCCATTGCATATATACTAGCACAATGAGAGTAGCATTGTTTTGCCATCACTGTATGCAATCACAGACCCATAATAAGGTTTCATAGGGCAAGGCACTCCTACCAATACAGCTTATTTGGGAAAGTAGATTGCTGTAGGTGTTTTCAAATGAATGGATTATAGTTAATATGGGAAAACAAGAAGAGTGCATTGCTGTATTTTAGGATTATTATTATTATTATTATTATTATTATTATTATTATTATGCATTTATGCACTATGTGGCCAAAAGTATGTGGACACCTGACCATGAAACCCATACAGTATGTGGTTCTTCCACAAACTGTTGCCACAACGCTGGAAGCACATAACTGTATAGAATATCTCTGTATGCTGTAGCATTAGAATTTCCCTTCACTGGAACTAAAGTGCCCAAGCATGAAAAGGCCCCTGTATACAAAGAGAGGTCTATGAACACCTTTGGGATGAACTGGAATGCTGCACCCCAGGCCTCCTCACCCAACATCAGTGTCTGACCTCACTAATGTCCTGTGGCTGAATGAGCACAAATCCCCATAGCCACGCTCCAGAATCTAGTGGGAAGCCTTCCCAGAAAAGTGGAGGTTATTATAGCAGCAAAGGAGGGACTACATTTGGAAAAAGGATGTTCAAAAAGCACATATGGTTGTAAAGGTCAGGTGTACACATACTTTTGGCCATATAGTGTACATCCAGAAGTGTGTTTTGAAGCTTACACCAAATGAACAAAGTATTTCTAAACCCAAATTACTGCAGATCCAGTGGTAAATATTACTTTGCACAGTGCTGATTCACTCATTGTGTATAAAATCTGCAATTTCTACAATAAAATACTGGGTTCAAATGAGTATCATATTTTTGGAAAATGTGTGGCCTTTTTGTTCAGTTCGTTTTTCTAAACATTTCTTAGAGATGTTGGGCACTGCTTCCCAGCGCATTGTGGAGCTAGTTAGACATTTCGAGCAGGGCTAAGGTCAGGAGACTTGCCTGATCATTTCATTTCAGCAAGCACTGCCTCCTTTCTTTCCACACTCCCCTATTACAACTTTGAGGTCTTTTTTAAAGTCTTTAAAAACCAAACAGGGTGACATGGTGGTGGCAGCAGGTAGCATTAACACCTCACAGGTCCAGGGTATCTGGTTTGATCCTGAGCTCAGGTTACTGTCTGTGTGGGGTTTCTCTGCATGTTTTCCCTGTGTGTAGGTTTCCTCTGGGTTCACAAGGTGGGTTTCCTCCTACCTCTCAGAAACATGCCAGTGGATTGCCAATGATAAATTTCCCTGAGATGTGTGTGTGTGTGTGTGTGTGTGTGATGCCCTGCAACGGACTGACATACCTTCCAGGGTGTATTCCCAACTCACACCCAGTGTATAGGCTCCAGAATCCCCACAACACTGGCCAGGATAAAGAGGTTAAGGAAGATGAATGAATGAAAAAACAAGCATTGCTTTAAAAAAAATTTAAAAAGGGCAAGTTGCCTTTTTTTTACCAAAGTTACCAAATTCTTGATAAGCAGTGTCAGGGTTTACATGCATCATGCAACAAGACTGGCCCATGAAAAAAAAAAAATTACATTGCAGCATTTTCACCATTTGCACAACTTGAGTACCACATCAGTACACATAATGTGTATTGAAACTGGAGAGGAGGATAGAAATGGTAAACAGAAATCATATGATGTTCTCTCACTACGTAGAACCGTTCAGAGACTGCAGAGAGTTTACTTCTAGAGCTAGTAACATTGAAGCTGAACACTTTGTTCTAGCAGTGGGGAATTTCACTACTTCTGATCATTATGTCCAGCTTCTTAAAGTCTATATATTTTGTACACTAAAAAGAATGAAAAATAGTGATGGGAATTCCGGCTCTTTTCAGTGAGTCCGATTTTGCTCAGCTCACCAATAAGAGCTGACTGATGCAGCTCCCAAAAGACTGATTACCATTTTTCTTTTCTTAAGCAGTTTGCAATATTTTGACGAGGGTTTGTTCTTCTTTACTTAACTATGGCTGAAATTATTTAATGAAATCTTACTCTACCACCTAAGTAACAGAGTAACATTAGTTTGTAATTAGTTTGTTGTTGTTCTTCTCGGTTGCTCCCATCACCACAGTGGATCACTGGTCCGCATATTTGATTTGGCATAGTTTTGACACAATCCTCCCCAAGTTTATTCGGGCTTGGGATCTGCACTGTGAGTGCTCTGTCGTGTACAACCACTGTGGCTGGGGTTGGTTCCCTGGCCCAGAATTGAACCTGGGCCGCAGCAGTGAGAGCACCGTGGCCTAACCACAAGACCTCCAGGGACCCTTGTAATGTACTTTATAAAGTCTATTAAATAATCATTAAATATCTAAGCTACTACAGATCGATAAATGCTATTGTACTGCTATGTATGTACTTCATTAAAAAGAGTAATTTCTATTTTTCCTGATAACTGATCACCTACAATTGACTACATACTGTATATCGGAAATTATACTGCAAGAGTAACAGCTTAGATAAATTTATCTGTTGATAGTCATGAACAGATAAAAAACAAATGTCTCTTGATTGGGAGTCAGCTCAATGTTAACCTAAAAGAGTCAGCTCAAAGAGCCGAGTCATTCACAAATGATACGTTTCTGTTGAACAATTGGTAGAGAAATTTAAATTTCTTTCAGAGACTGATGGAACCATTCTTAAAGAAATCCACAGATATGTGATTCATTTGATCTGGTGATTAAACCAACTCCCTTGTAGCAAAATTGGAGAATTTCTCATTAAGTTTGTACTAGTCAGGATATAACGTTGGAGAAAAATAGAGTGTATCATAAAGTTTTACACCAAATTAAAAAGAAACTCTGAATAACATATGTGTGATTTATAAAATTATGTTGCTATATATTACTGTCTACTTTTCCATTTCAGAGAAACCCTAACACATGTATCATACGTTATTATTCGTTTTTTGCAGTGACTGGTTTAAGGAGAATGGTTTATAAACACTCTCACGTACACTGAGCTGACGCATTTTCATCACATTACTTTGACACGTGATTGCAACTCTTTCCAAATACTCTAATCAACACAAAAAAAAAAGATAACCAGAAGAATACATGCACTGAAATCTTTTCATATTTAGTCACATCATGTTTTACAGAAGGTATTCGTTCTTTAGGTCAAAGGACCACACCATTGAAAATACGGCTGAGTGTCTTCCAGCTTTCACGCTAATGTTTTGTGTGTTGAAACTAAAAAAACTGCTGTAGCCTTGGCCAGACCATGTACTTACTTAATAAATTCACAGAAATGAATTAATAATGAATAGCGGGTCAGGAGGGCAAGGATGAGCTGTGCTTGTTGAAGATATTAAATATTCTCCAGTATTTTTTTGTGAAATCCATGCATCTATTAAACAGCCAGCAATTCACTGAAATGGACATGGAGCTGTTGAGAATAGGGAAGAGTAAGTAGGTTAATCTGATAATTAACACATCTTGTTTACCCTCAAGTCAGTAAGTTATCAAATTGGGGGAAACCTGTTTAAATTTAAAAAAATAAATAAATTTAAAAAAAAAGAAAAAAAAAACTGAAATAGAACAAAATAAGCGATCCATCAAGACAGTGTATTTTCAGCACTTCATGTGTGAAAGAGAAAAATAAAAATCAATATTTGAAATGCTATTTCTCTGAGATGTCAACATTTGACCTCAATATGGTAGGATGTTGAGCCGGACCTGACTGATTTGGAGGCTATTTGTCATTTTTCTAAATTTTCTTCCTCTAGTCTTGTCATGCCCATCAATATATTTTAATAGGTCTATGATATTCAGCTGTACTGATCAATACAGGAGGAAACAGGTAAAATAGCAACAAATGAAAAAAGACTTTTTAGCAGCATCCACAAAGCCAGTGGCAACAGCTATGGTACACACTGAGACAGTTTAATACCAGGAGATAAAAATAGTAGTGTCACACCTCCGGGGGTTGGGGGTTTGCCTCTCCCCCCTGCATCCACCATGTGTGCCCAGAGGTTGCATGTTCTCCCCATGCTCCAGGGTTTCCTCCGGGTATTCCGGTTTCCTCCCCCAGTCCAAAGACATGTGTTGTAGGCTGATTGGCGGTTCCAAATTGTCCATAGTGTGTGAGTGTGTGTGCAATTGTGCCCTGGCCCAGGGTTGGCACCCTGTCCAGATTGTCCCCTGTCTTGTGCCCCAAGTCCCTTGGGATAGGCTGCTATGAACTAAATGATTACAGGAACTAACATATGTCGTGGATGTTCCACAACCTTAAATATATAACTTTAAACTGCTAAAATGTAGAACATATCAACCTTTAAAAAAAACATAAATTAAAATCGTTCACAAATTGCTATTGTATAAGAGGAATACAATACTCTAGGATGTGATATAATTGGAAAATAATCAACTACAGGGTGGAAACAGTAACCCAGCTTCACATTCGTCCACATCACACCACCACAATGTTGATTATTTTCCTAAAACAGCAAGCTGCCAAGGTTTTTTTATTGGTTACTGAAAATATAATGGTCAATGCATAGATATGCTATTGATTTAGTTGGAAGGCCAAGCAAGAGGAAAAAAGAATATTCAAGACCTAATCTCCTGGATTTGTAACTCTGAAAGTTTAACTGAAAACTGAACGTTTTTTGGGTTTTTTTCCGGGAACTATAAGAGTACAAGACTGCAATTATTAATTTTACTCAGCTGAAGTACAAAAATGATACTTAAGTATAGTAACAAAGTACAATTAATTAAACTTCCTGGCTCTGTACCTAATTCCACTAACCTATAGAGGAAAAAAAATAGGACAAGACCTGTTATGAGCATAACTGAAATAGTGCTCTATGTATGATGGTCAAAAAGCTGAAAACTGTGAAAGAAGACTCAGGTCAATAGAACCTTGTATTTGAGGCTGATATACTGTACTAACTTAGAGAGAGATAGAGATATGAGTTAAAGCTCCATTTTCTCCTGCAGTCACCATTTAATTAATTAATATTCCACAGCAGGACGTTTTAATCTCAACCTGTTTGAATGGCAGAGTGATTAACTGAGATGTATTCCTTCAGCAAGCATCCACTGGTTTGCATCTCGTTTCACGTCAGTCTGCTTTTCTTCCTCCTATGGCGTGTTTATCCTCAAAGCCACGAGCTGTAAAAAGAGGCAGATAAAAGAGAAAGCTGACAGATGAATTATAAAGAGATATTACTCTGGTTCATGCTACTAAGATGATTTGTGGAAGATGGGAGGACACGGCTCAGTGAGTAGAAGATGTTTATGAGATGTGAAAAATATGTCTGTGCCAAAAATAAATGAGACGTTTAAATTTCACAGTGAAAGTTTTAAATACATCTTTTGGGACGTGGAAAAGGTGGTGGGGGGTTTGCTGACGCAGTGGGAAACCATGGGATCCTGAGCTCGGGGTACTCTCTGTGTGGAGTTTGTGATGTATTTCCTGTGTCTGTGTGGGTTTTATGCAGGTTCTCCAGTTTCTTCCCACCCCCAAAAAAACACGACAGTAGGCGGACTGGTGACTCTAAATTGCTCCTAGGTTTGAATGAAAGAAAAAAGACTTCTGAATAAGACGCATCTGTGTATCCTTGATCCAAAAGACTCCTCTCTCCTTATTCTTTGATTACTCTGGGCACATTTCAAGAATGGTTACTTCCTTAAAGATGGTGAACTTCAATTGATTTCTGGGTCACAGGCTAAAGAAGGTGTGGTCGAGGAATCAAGTAGGCATCAGTTAGAGCTTTGGAATTCACCCCTAGATTTATGTTTTTCAAAAAAGTTCTGAAAAGCATGGAATTTAATAACAAAATTAAATAATTGTCACTCTCTCCAAAGCCTGACTCCAGTGTCTCCATTCCCGCCTCTCAGGGTGTCCCTATTTCCCTTAATTTTCAGGATCCATACAAGCTTCTCATATTCAGGCTGTTAAAAATGTAGTCTGGTGCTTTACTCTTAAGTTAGCTTCCTTTAATCATCCTGTATGTACAGATACTTTTATCTGGTAGAAGATGAAGCCTAGGCTGAGATACAGTTACTTAAAGCTACCATATAAGTCTGTGAAATCCAAAATATCCTACACCATAGTGCTTAAAACCATCAGCCAGAAACTTGCCTTCAGTCTGTGCTTCTTTTTACAGCAATCCTGACATTCTATTAGTTATGTGTCAGTGTGTTGCCCAATTTGAGAGAAAGCAATAAAGGTAGTAATATGCTGACAGTAGATAATCTCACTGATAATTTTGTTTTTGCAATTTTTGTATTTTTAAATACTGTTATGGATCATTACTAAATATTCAAGTTCTTACTAATTTAATTCCTGGTGGAGCTTTTTCTACATTTCTAATATTGACATCGAGTTTGGTAAGCCAAATCAGCAGGATTTGAGCAAAGCCTTCAGTATTCAGTAAAATCCAACACAACTTAAATTTTTAAAAGAATATTTAAAAGAATATTGTGATTTTTATCATGTTTAATGGGCCAGAGATGTCAGTGTTTATTTATAGTTTACTTTGTGTGATACAATTTGTGTTATTTGAATTTCAGCATTGGCAGGTAGGCTGCATATGAAGTGTCTTCAGCTCAGAAAGAAACTCAGGAAGTCTGTTTATTCTTCAGCCAAAGTGGAGTGAATGAGAGGCATCCAGGGGAGATTTGGGCTTTGTGCAGATGTGGTTATACATTCTTGGTGGATTCATGCTCCAAATCAATAACTCTCCTGCTGTTAGACTTAAACCCTGGCCTATATACTTGTCTTCTGGAGAAGAAACTTCATTTTAGTTTTATAGTTAAGTGCATCACTGGTTTACAAAATAGGTCATATTTACAAGTCATAAGCATTTGACTGACAAAGAAGCATTACATGTGGGGAACAAAAATGGGGTTTAGTTTAAAAGAATATTTATATACAGTGCATACGCAAAATGCATATAAAAGGTTACAGCAACATTAAGATCAATGTTAGGAGAGGAATAGTATTTGAAGTATAATAATGTATGAATAAATACATAATGTATTTTGCTATTTTTGCTTTTGTGAAGTGAAGCTCATATTTTGCAGACTGCTATCACACACAAAAACTCATTTGAAAATGAATATGTATGTTCAATCGATGCGAATATGAAACTGTATAATCTCACACTTCTGTTGCTTTTTCAATTTAGAGGAAAATTGCTGCTGTTCATATCCTTTGTTTTGAGCAAGGTCAACGTCCCACACACTTTTTCATTTGCCCTCTCACAAGAAGCGCTGACGGACTGCTTTTCAGGTCCCAGAGAACAACTGAAGCATGCC